GCGCGAAATTTAAAGCAAACAAACAGTCAAGCCTATAAAAGTACTATGCCCAGAATTACAATACCGCATGACGTCATGGTTCTAAGAACTGTAATACCGTAATGAAATCGTGTAAAAAGCAGCGTTTGGGCTGGTCAAGAATACTTCATGCGAAACATTGTGGAAGACTCCATGTTTCAGTAAGAATTGTATTCATGACAATTAAGACTAAAGAAGGTAATGAAACTATCACTGTTAATAATAGAAATAGAAACACTCCACAAGTATCTCAGGGTGTGTTCGTTACCAGATAAACAACAATCGACCTTGCTGTAAATACAGGTGCGAATGTTATTTCATGCATAATAAGATACACATTAGCCCAAATTGGTATCAATGAGCGTGTAGTTTCTGGAAACTGCTGGTAATCAAAACCAAAAGCTTGACATGGGTATCGAACCACAAATAGCGGTATAAGCAAAGATGGTGACATGAAGTCTTTAGGGTTTAATTCAAATTGTTCAATGTTCGACGACAGAAAGAAGTCCAATGTACAACATATACAATAGCGCTTGGTGCTTGAGGAGTTCCAGTTTTTGGCTATATCTCAGTCAACGATGTTGGCTTCTCCTCATAACTGATGGTACCATACTCATGTTAATTACAAGCAGATTGTGACCAGTCCTTAGAATTACCATTCATCGGACAGGATTTATCTTTCAGCAAGGCAATGATTCCATTCATACAGCAAATATCATGAAACAATTCCTTGACGGTAAATAGATCGATGGGACATTCACAAACATAGATTGGCTGGCACAAAGTGCCAATATGAGCATGCTTAAGGTTGTATGGGCGTATGTAAAAACTCAGAATGTTAAAAGGCGAAAAAATATTTTTGTTGGCTGAGTTCTGGGGAATAATACGGGTCAATTGAAACAATGTTCCATAATCGTACATTGATGGACTCCATGGAAACAAGGTGTGGCGTTCTGTGTGAAGTATAGGGCTCGTACATTGATGGACTCCATGGAAACAAGGTGTGGCGTTCTGTGTGAAGTAAAGGGCTCGTACGTTGATGGACTCCATGGAAACAAGGTGTGGCGTTCTGTGTGAAGTAAAGGGCTCGTACATTGATGGACTCCATGGAAACAAGGTGTGGCGTTCTGTGTGAAGTAAAGGGCTCACATGTTGGGAACTGTACAACGTATTTGCATTTCTTTTGTATTTTCAGTCATAATGTTTATACCACTAAATATATACACCATTTAGTTGTCATTATTCTATATGTGACTCCTTCGTATGTATTGCATGCGTCTTTATATAATTATTTCGATTACTGCACATACAAGCTAATTGTTTTCATTGAAAATACTATATTGTGTAACTCTTGTACGAATCTGGTGTCGCTATACAGTATGTAGGAGCCACAAACTCTAAAACGTATGACCATGACATGATGGACGTATACATATAGTGACCACAGACACTGACGTTTTTTTTTGTGATTATCTAAAACACAATACGAGTGTCTAGTGGTCACAGACACATAAATTCTCTTTGTTTATCCGAGACATAATGAGAGTGTGTAGTGGTCACAGACACATCAATTTTGTTTGTTTATCCGAGACATAATGAGAATGTGTAATGGTCACAGAAACACCAGTTTTGTTTGTTTATCTGAGACATAATGTGAGTGTGTAGTGGTCACAGAAACACCAGTTTTGTTTGTTTATCTGAGACATAATGGGAGTGTGTAGTGGTCACAGAAACACCAGTTTTGTTTGTTTATCTGACACATAATGGGAGTGTGCAATGGTCACAGACACACCAGTTTTGTTTGTTTATCTGAGACATGACTGAAATAAATACATATTGATCACAAATATTCCTGCATTAGTTTTGCTTGTTGAAGGTGTGTAGTCCATTTTTCTTTTCTATGTTTGCTTGTTGAAACCATGTAGTTTGTACACACAATAATATAAACATTAACCATTTGGAAAGTTAGCTCGTAATTAAATCAGATGTCTTCCAAGATTAATGTTTTCAACTTGTATAGCAACCATGATGCAGTTTTAAACATACTACGATCACCTTAAATGAAATGTATGCTTTCATGCCTAAAACATACGTCAAATGGGCACACTGTTTCACAGAAACTGTTTATTCTGTTCTAAGTAAATATATCTTTTTTTTATTTTGTTTTATCTAGTTAAACAAAAACATAATTTCTATTACCTCAAAGCATTCGGTGGTTTCCGTCATTCCATGATAGTGGGTTGATTCTAGTATTTACCGCATCTTATAAATCACCAGAATTGAAATAATAAATTATTAGTAGTTTTAAAACAAGATATATTTAAGAAATAGATTATGCTAGAAAGTAGTAGTCATATGATATTTTATGTACTTGGTTGATGTAACTTGAAATATCTTGGCTTCTCTAAACACCTTACTTATCCTAAACAACATTTAGTGTACTTGGTTAATGTAACTTCAAATATCTTGGCTTTTCTAAAAACCTTACTTATCCTAAACAATATTTAGTGTACTTGGTTAATGTAACTTGAAATATCTTGGCTTTTCTAAAAACCTTACTTATCCTAAACAATATTTAGTGTACTTGGTTAATGTAACTTGAAATATCTTGGCTTCTCTAGACACCTTAATTATCCTAAACAACATTTAGTGTACTTGGTTAATGTAACTTGAAATATATTGGCTTCTCTAAACACCTTACTTATCCTAAACAACATTTAGTGTACTTGGTTAATGTAACTTCAAATATCGTGGCTTTTCTAAACACCTTACTTATCCTAAATAATATTTAGTGTACTTGGTGAATGTAACTTCAAATATCTTGGCTTTTCTAAACACCTTACTTATCCTAAACAATATTTATTGTACTTGGTTAATGTAACTTCAAATATCTTGGTTTCTCTAAACACCTTACTTATCCTAAACAACATTTAGTGCACTTGGTTATTTAAGTAACATAATTCAGGTAATATTCGGCTTTTCTTTATTTCGCTTATTTTTTTAATTATTAATACTAGTTTCGCCTGTATTACGACTATGCCTCAATTTCGTGTGAGAGCTGAATATTTATATTATTACTGCTATTGTAAATAGCAAATAATAACATAGAAACTGGAAAAAACAGAATAAACAATTTATGTTTAGGGTGATATATAACATTTGGGAACACATCTATGTCATATCTACTGCATAAAACAGTTAAAAGATAATCGGAACTTGTAATATTATACTTGCAAAGCAAAAATGGTTAAAAGTACATTTTTATTCAAATCAAACAGTTGATGATTCGTCAGTTGATTTGAAATGTAAATTACTGATCGTTCACTCTATGCTCTATATGTGATGATCTCACACATTGACTTTGAAGTGAACGCAGAGTTTAAAGTGTTTTGTATTGTTCATGACCATGAGTGACTTGGCCTTAAGAATACAGTTTTGATGTTTCACGCATGTGGAGAGTCATTGAAACGAATGGAAGCCGATGAGTCACAGCAGGGTGTTTTAAGTTAGCTAATAACTTCTCAAAGTGTTGTTTACAGAATACGGGACTTTGTACGGCTATCTGTGGTCTGCCCACCACGGGTATCGAAACCCGGATTCTAGTGTTGTAAGTCCGCAGACATACAGTTGTGCCACTTGGGGGGGGGCGAATACGGAACTGCTTTCAAATCATGAACAACGATGATAATATCTATCTCTCGATTCTGGCTTTACCCTAATCGTAGGGTACAACGCCGAACCAAATGTTTGCAGTCGCCAGAAATGGCCGTGTCAACGTATAGACGATTAAGAACAGGCTTCACGAGGCCAACAGAAATATACTCAGACGTCTCATAATTTACATTCCATTACATAGCAAAGCACAAAACAGCACCAAGTGTATATATGGGAAACTCTTATCGTTCTGTATTCTACTTTTCATTCTATAATTTATTATAAACTTTTACTTATTGAAAAATATGTTTACTTCGAACATTGTTCTGGATTATTTTATTTAAAACACATGATTACGCGTGATACAATGTACCGTATAATAAGTAGCTTTCTCTCTCTCTCTCTCGTTACAATAGTGATTTTACTTTTAATCTCTTAAACTGTTTTCTAACCAAGCAGAATCGGTTGTAATACTGAGTCCCTGGAGAAATACTGATCATAAAATATTCTAGATTATTTGGTTCTTTATTATTTAATACGTTATTGTATAATGCCTTCTACATTCCAGTTGGTCTTGCAAACACTAAAATAAAACGGACTTGTTTTCCTTTATCAGCTATTGCGTATATGTGTGTATTTATGTACATATGTAATGTCACTTTGGTGCAGATACTGCATATTGCACTTTTACATAACGACTTGCTTTGGAATCTGAATACTATATGCAAGGAGTTGGGTGTGGTTTAATGATTAGCGTACCAGACCGTGTATCTGAAGATTCAACGCTCGGATCCTGTTGCAAACTTAAGTACATAAAAGATAAAATAGCGCTCCGCACCTTGGACCCATGGGCCCACTATTCAGTTAGGCAAGCGAAAGTAACCCAAGAATTGGCGCTAGGAGTTGTTTTCCCACTAGTCTATTAATTGAAATTTTTAGACGATTAACGCAGTTAACCCTTGTGTAGCTTTGCTCTAATATTATAATAAACATAAAAATCAAGAAAGGCACGTGAAAACAGTCCACTGTTTCTTTTATTCGTACATTTCTCTTTTCGAGCATACATTTTAAAACGTTTAGATAAATCATGTATGTAACTAGAAATTTCTTGTCGATGTAAGAATTAGATATTTTTTGTTTAGAACTGTATGGTTAAAATTCCCCGATTATTTCTATGTATGAAGCAATAACTTCAATTTAACAGTAAGAAAAAAAATGCCTGAAATGTTTCTTATTCGTCTGAATATCGCTTGTCTCAACGTGTATTAGCTTATGCTCAGTAAATGTTACTGATTATTCCAGAACGTCCGACGATCCTCCAAGTAATCACACCGAAGGAATTTACCGCCCTCAGGTGGACATGGAAAATGATGTTTTATGCAGCCGTTTGCCGGAAGACAGCCTAACAGTAAAAGAACGCCGTTTAACGGAGATGATCCAACAGCTACAGGAGCTCAGAAGTCAGTTGATAGTACAGCAGAGTCAGGTAGCTTCTCAGAAAAGTTTTTAAAAGTAGAGAATTTTCGAAAGTTTTGATAAACATATTTGAAGGTAAAGTTTCCGTACCTCAATTGAACCATTGACGTAATGCATCAATGTTCTAGAATTAAGTGATTTTATTCCCTCTCGATACCAATATTATATTATTTATCCTATTGAACAAGTGAACTTACATGTAAGTTACTTCAGAACATTCGAATACAGTTAAAATAGTACACTAAAAAAAGTGAACTAATACCAACAGAACTCACAAGTATTGTTGGGAAGATATTATACTCCACAACTCATGGGCATTATTTAGAAAACTTTTCACATAGGAGGTAAACATTATACTCCACAACACTCCATAAATCACGTTTAATAATGGAAAAACATTGTTCTCCACAACTCACGGATATTATTAGTAAAACTGTTCACGTAAAGGTCAAACAATGTTTCGTCCAAGAACTTATTAATGACCTACGATTCTACACGGAATTATTTATCTATATTCTAATGTTGCAGAAAAAATCCATTACATCGAGTCCATAGCTCGTAAACCGCGAAATAGTAAACGAAGGTGATTGTTAATCGCCGTGACAGTTATGTTTTAATCTAAATGCATAAAACAGACGTTTTATTTAGTTCTTGATTTACAAGATAGAGTATTGCAACTATCATATTCAAGAATGTTTTCTAAATTTAGAAAAAAAAAACACTTAAGAGGTAAGAAAGTTGAATTGGATGATTTCTTTTTGAAAACTTGTAAAAATGGACTTACTCCAAATTTTCTTTCGTGTAAGTTGCCTACACACAATAAAACTGTGAAAGACTGGTATCTACGCTACAAAATAAACTAGTGAAGGAACATATACAGCTGAAGACTGGTTACCCCTGAAGATTATGACTTTATGAACTCCCTTATTCAAAATTGGTAATATGTCGGATTAAAGAGTTAAAATAAGTCATGAAAGGAGGTTAATAAGCCTTAGCAATTTTAACTGTGATAATGTACTGGATGAGGCGATTATAAGTGCTATTCCAGTTGTTCACAATTTATCGTCAACAATATGGACTCATTTTTCCAAAAAGAACACCTTTGTTGGATATAAAAAGCAGGATTGGAAGATTTTGCCAGAAACATATTTATTCAGTTAACATGAAAGGAGGAAAAAAGAGAAGAAGTAGTTCAAGAAGCTAACAGCAGGGAATCATTTTGTTATAGGAACAACTATGCTGACTTTCCACAAGCACCAAATGATGGGTATTTATCTAACGTTCTCAACGATTTTTATGAGAAAATAAAACTGGTAACTAAACCTAAATGTATTAATCTTACATTAACAAAAGCTTAACTGAATGCCCTTAAACAATTACGAGAAAATAAAAAATCTGGTCATTATGAAAGCTTGCAAAGATAATTCTGTTGAAGTGAGGAATTATTGTGATTATTTGAGTAAAATGACTGAATTATTGTGATTATTTGAGTAAAATGGGTGAATTATTGTGATTATTTGAGTAAAATGGGTGAATTATTGTGATTATTTGAGTAAAATGACTGAATTATTGTGATTATTGGAGTAAAATGGGTGAATTATTGTGATTATTTGAGTAAAATGGGTGAATTACTGTGATTATTTGAGTAAAATGAGTGAATTACTGTGATTATTTGAGTAAAATGAGTGAATTATTGTGATTATTTGAGTAAAATTGGTGAATTATTGAGTGATTAAGAGAATTTTATAAACTTTTAATTAACAACTCGACTAAAATAAGAGAAAAGAAACTGAACCAATTTTTATTATATTTAAAGAAAATAAATTCATTAAATTATTCTTTTTATATTTTGTTTAGATCTAGGGATGCAAAAATACCTTACATTTATGGGCTGTCTAAGATATATAAATAGGATGTACCTCTTAGGCATATTGTCTCCACCAGAGAAGCTTTTAATTATAACTTAAGTAAATTTTTGACCTGGATATTGGGACCTTATGCATTACAAGAAGAGTGTGTTTTAAAAAATATAAAACACTTTTCTTAGTTATAGTGTGTATTTAATCTTCATAGTTTTTAGTTAGCTTTGACCTGCCAGTCAACGAATCTATTGATTGCACTCTTTCTTGCCTCATGAAAGATGGAAATTCAAAAGCACAACTTCCTTCACAAGTTTGAAAATGAATGTCAGTCTTTACAACACAAACTGCATTTCAATTGAATGAAGAATTTCACGATCAGATTGAGGGAATTAGTATGGGTAGTCTATTAGCACCTGTTCCAGCTAACACCTCTATGATCATGCTTGATTATAAAGTTCAAAGTACGGTTAATCTATGATTATGTTTTTTGTCAAATATGTTGACGATACATTTGCTGGGTTTGTTTCCGGACAAATGTTTGAACAGTTTATAGTACTTCTGAACTCATTACATCCTAATATTAAATTTACTCATGAGAATGAAGGTAAGTTATCTTTTTTCGATGTCATAGAATTAATAATGCTTTTAAAACGAAAGTGTTTAGGAAAGAAACACATACTGATCTTCACTTGAATTGATCATCAGCTCATTGCAAGACTAAACAAATATGGATTATAAAACTTTATTGGCTATAGTAAAAACTAATTGCAGTTCAAAAGAAGAGCTGGATAAGGAAGTGCAATATCTAGAAAACGTATTGGTGGAAAGGAATAATTATCCTATTAGTGTGGTGAGAAAATACTTAAGAACTGATAGATTGACAGAAGAAAAAAAAAGAAAATGTATTCAGATAATTTGGTTTATTGTGTAATTCCGTATGGACCTGGCCAATCAAATACGATAAAAAAGACAGTCGAAAGAAACGGAAAGGATGTTATTATAAACTTCCAATTGTAGGTAAATATATATTTTAATGGGAAAAAAGTTGAATACAATCATAATAAATAGAATTATACCAACTACAGTTGAGAAAGTAGATTATAGTGTATAATGAAGGGACTGTAAACATCTTTATATAGGGAAGACTGGTAGAAATTTAAGTACAAAAACAGCAGAACATGAACATACTTCGTCACATGTCTACCAACATTTTATAGATACAGAACATGAACATACTTTGTCACATGTCTACCAACATTTTATAGATACAGAACATGAACATACTTCGTCACATGTCTACCAACATTTTATAGATACAGAACATGAACATACTTCGTCACATGTCTACCAACATTTTATAGGTACAGAACATGAACATACTTCGTCACATGTCTACCAACATTTTATAGATACAGAACATACTTGTCACACGTCTACCAACATTTTAAAGATACTGAACATTATAATGAAAATAAAATTTTTAAAATATCTGTCGAGAACATAATGTTAATAAACGTAAAATAAAGAAATCTATTTCGATAATGGAATAAAATCCTATAATAAAGAAAACAAAAAAAGTAGCTTTATAAATATATTAAGGTCAAGGTTATGTTCGTGACGTCACCATTGGGTGTATTTAATTGTCTTATTTAGTTGTGCTAAGTACCTGATGATGCTACATTAACAGTGGCAAAACATTGTTTTATTAGATATTTTCTACCCCATTTTAGCTGTTTTATTTTGGATTTTTATAATTCTTCTAAGTTTGTAGTCCAAAATCTTGATTCTGTCAAGCTTAATATTCAAAACAATTCTCGATAAAACAAATTTAGTAACTTTATTTCAAAAACCACCAAACATTCCACAAATCCAAAGTTACCTTTAAATAACCCAAATCTTTTTACGTATCCAATATCACAGAGCACAATGTCCACACCGGTGAAGCCACGTAATTCGTAAAAAGATCTTTATCATGGTGAAACATGGGTAATGTTAAATGTGATTTTAATTTCCCATGACAAATGTAATTTAGTATGCATATCTATAACTAAGATGTTATAAGGGTTATGATGCAACTTCACCACAATAATGTTTACGTTAATATCTGTGAAGGGATTTATTATTGAGATTAAATATGAAGATAATCTTTAGCGATTTGTATGTGAATTGATACTTAAAAGCACATCTTATGCGGATTAGATAGTGTAAGCGAGTTTAGATCATTTCGTTTTTGGAATTTGGATGAACAGCTCTGTTCTTAGTAAACTTTTGGCAACGTTAATGGTATTGAATACTGTGGCCCTTCGTGAATTCGAAATTGTTATTTGACTGTGACCAGAAGGAATTATTTTTCTGGTTAATGAATCTTCTGATAACAAGGCTTAATATAACTCACCAAATCCCAATCTACGTGTGATACACTTCCGTTTTAGTGAGATTGATGAGAGCTTGTTTGTTTGTTTGTTTGTAATTAAGCACAAAGCTACACAATGGGCTATCTGTGCTCTGCCCACCACGGGTATCGAAACCCGGATTCTAGCATTGTAAGTCCGCAGAATGTACTACTGGGGGGCTTGATGAGAGCATTGCAGCTCACGAACAGCAAATATACACAAATATATCCGGTCCCTCTAGCATTGTGAGTCCGCAGACTGTGCTACTGGGGGGCTTGATAAGAGCATTGCAGCTCACTAACAGCAAATATACACAAATATATCCGGTCCCTCTAGCATTGTAAGTCCGCAGACATACCGCTGTGTTAGTGGGGGGCTTGATGAGAGCATTGCAGCTCACTAACAGCAAATATACACAAATATATCCGGTCCCTCTAGCATTGTAAGTCCGCAGACATACCGCTATGTTAGTGGGGGGCTTGATGAGAGCATTGCAGCTCACTAACAGCAAATATACACAAATATATATTTAACTTCGGTCCCTCTAGCAAACTAGCCTGTTTTCCTTGTTGTTGTTTTCACTATAAGCTTATATAAAAGATTTCCCCGATCTCCTTTTTGTTTTTACAAAACAGGAACAATTTTAACCTTATAAGTTCAATCTATATAATTAATACTTGTGTTTGTCTGTCCGGAACTTTTCTCGCAAAATTCTCGACTAAACCCAACAAATTTCATATTGTTAAAAAAAAAGT